CTGAGCCACCCAGGCGCCCTGGAATTTTTCTTTTTTAATGTTATTTTTTATTTTAAGGAGTGCACTTTATTTATATTTATTTACTTACTTACTTAACTTACTTATTTAAGTGAGCTCCACACCCAGTGTGGGGCTTGATCTCCCAATCCTGAGATAGAGTCTCATGCTGTACCTACTGAGCCAGCCAGGCACCCTGATCTTTGAATTTTTGAAAAGGAGTTGAGATGATAAGGATAAAGACAAAGTGCCCCATGCTTCATTTAGGCCACCCTTTCAGAATTCCAGTTACATGCAGTTCTCACTGAACTCAGATGTTCTCAAGGTAACTTGTGAAAAGGCTTCCCTCTTAGGCCTCAGTCATGGAGATGAAGTACAAGAGCAGGAAATCTGAGTGACCATGATCCCTAAAGTGATTGAAATTTTGCATGTGTGTCTGTGTGGCATTTTTCTGCTGGAGGGTTACCAGTTGTAATTAGAAGATTAAGTTGGTCCTAGCCCAACAACAACAAAAAATACTGTGAGGAAAGAGGCAAGGCGTAGCTCAGAGCCAGAGAATAAATTTACATAGAGTAAATCTGAAGTCAGATCATGTCAGTTCCCAGCATTTAATTCTCCATTGGCTTCCCATCACCCGCATGAAAAAAATCCAGACTCCTGGGTATGACAGTGGAAAGCAAGACAACAAAAGAAAAATAGGTAAATGGTAAAAAAGTAGGCAAAAGACCACAATAGACATTTCTTCAGAGAAGATACACAGATGGATGGCCAATAAGCTCATGCAAACATGCTCAATGATCCTAATCATTAGGGGACTGCACATCAAAACCAAAGGGCGATACTGCTTCATACCCAGTTGTGTGACTATATTCAAAAAAGGGGTATGGCTCAGAAAAGAACAAGCCCTGGAGAATGGGGTGTAACTAAAAGTATTGTGCACTGCCCCAAGCACTGTAAATGGTGCATTCCCATAAAAAAAAAGTTAGTGATTTCTTTAAAAAAGTAAACATAGAATTATGGTGGGTACATACCCCAAGAAATTGTAAACAGGAAAGTGATCAGGTATTTTTACATTTTCTAAATCTCCTGGTTAATTCACTGTCTTTGATCAGCAACATGTTGAACAGTGATCACTCCTTACTTTAAACATGTTTTTTCATGGCTATGAAAAATCTTATCTATCATCGGTGCGTCTGTTTCAATTTTCTTCTCTCCACCCTCTGCTGATTTTTCCTTAACTCCCTGCTCTCTGATTGGAAGAGCACCCCACAGAATAGTCATGGACCTCTTCTCTTCTCTATACCCAGTGACTTTCCATGTGACCATATATCATTGCTTTAAATACCTAGGGGTCTCCCAGATTCACACTCCATCTTAGACCTCTGCCCTGAACGGTTTGTGTTGTCCACTTGTCTCCTTGACATCTCTGCTGGGACATCTCCACCTTACGGTGTCCAAACATGACCTCCTGAACTCCTCCAGTTGTGTTCCTTGCAGTCCTCCACCTCCCAGAAAAGAGCAGTGCCATCTTCCTGGAGCTTTGGTGACTATCAAAATACACAGCATATTTTCAGAATATACGGTATATTACATTATCCATGTGTGTTTTCCCTTAAGGAGTGGAAAAGAAAAAAAAAAAGACAATATGGGTGGGAGAGTACAGGGCTTCCAAAATTCACTTGAGTTGGAGGAGAACATTGCCTGAAGACCATGGCTGGACATTCCTGATCTATTTCTGTGACCTGATCCCCTGCTTGTCTCCTCCTCCCTCACTGGGATTGAGGCCCACAGATGTCTTTGCTGTTCTTGAGGCCAGGGTCAGCACTGCCCCAGGGCTTTCCCAAGGGTGGTCCCTCTGTCTAGAATTCTCTGACTCTTCAAATGCAGGTGGTGCACTAGGTATTTGTTGTGATATCACCTTCTCGTGGGGCCATCTCTGATGGCCCATTGGGACACTGCCATGTCCCATTCCAACCTCACACGAGCGTCCCACTCTGGCGTGTAATGCCTGCTCTGCATGGGTCTCTCTGCTCCTTGCTCTTCCACTGTCTGGATACAGGGGACAGGGCCCTGGGAGGGAGCAGAGCCACAGGTGGGTGGGGTGCTGGGCTGGTCTCCTCTGGTGCTCCACCCTGACTTCCCATGGGATTGTGAGGCATTTTGCACATTCCTCCTGTGCCCAGTCCCCAGAGATTTCTCTTCTTGTGTTTGGGGTTATGGGGCTCAGCCTCAGTGGTGTTGAAAGTGCCCCAGCTGATTCTAATCTATATCCAGCATTGAGCACCAGGACTCCAGCTCATCCATTAATGAGAACTAAAAGCAGCCCCTGATCTCGAGAGAGGTGAGGGGGGTTGTTCTCTACATGGAGTGTTATCAGGGCGGGTCTGTGACTTTAAAGGGAGGGTTAGTGCAGCCCAGATCCCCACTGCTGCAGCTCATGTGTGTGCTTCGCCAGGAGGGGAGTGAGTTCTGCAGGAAGAGGTCACAACACTCACTTGCTGGTCTCCATATAGCAGTACACTGTCCCTGAATCCCTCCTGTGGCAGTGGGCAGCAGAGCGGGGGGGGGGATCTTCCTGTGTGTGTGGTTGTGGTACAGGAAGGTGTATGTTGACCAAGTTCTAAACAGCATATATTTGACACTCAGGATTGACGTCTCAAGACCCATCTTGCCTGGCAGAGAAGCCCAGAGGAGGGAGAGGAGGAAAGCCCAGAGAGTCAGGAATGACTCATTCTCAGGTAAAGTCATATCTCAGTTCCTTGTTCTGTCATCCTGTGTCCTCACCTCCACGTGGCTGGGCTTCTCACACTCTGAAGTGTCCCTCCTGACATGTTTGCTCATGCTCACCCCAGGACCTGCCCTCAGCCCCTCTTTCTGCCTGCAGATTCCAGCTCATACATTTCCATATATCTATTTAATGGAGATCGAAGTTAAATGTTATGTTAAAAAATTTTTTTGCAGGGTTGTTTTTGTAAGCAGACTAAATAGAATAACATTGACAATTTTATTTCCATTTAATACAATTTATTCACATTTATTGTACCAGAAATACTGAAATGCACATGAGTAAAAAATGAGAGATAATGAAGATTTATTCTAAAAATAGATGTCATTTAGAGACTCCAGCTTTGATTTCAGTTACTTTCAGTGTGTGTTTATGTGTGCACACATGTGTATGGGCAGGAGCCTATAGTATGTAAAAAGATGTCATCATTTCATAAATAAATTTTATTTTAACTTTGAAAGTATGTTTGAAATTTTTTTTTTTAAGATTTTATTTATTTATTTGAGAGAGAGAGACTGAGAGAGAGAGCACATGAGAAGTGGGAGGGTCGGGAGGGTCAGAGGGAGAAGCAGACTCCCTGCCGAGCAGGGAGCCAATGCGGGACTCGATCCAGGGACTCCAGGATCATGACCTGAGCCGAAGGCAGTCGCTTAACCAACTGAGCCACCCAGGCGCCCTGTTTGAAATATTTTTCATGGCCTTAAATTTTTTCTACACCACCACATAAATAAATAAATAAATAAATAGCAGTAAGAATACTAACTATGTTTATGCATGTGTGTGTCCATGCAGATATGTTGACCTTTTATCCAGGCTTATGTTTCAACCTTGAACTTGTTTCATGTTTTCTCCATTAGAAAACCCTCTGTCAACAGACTTTTACTGTTGTATCTATTACTTTACTCTGATTGCTGCGAGTTCTATCCTAAAGCCTGACCACTTGGTTCAGGTGCAGGCTCTGCCATTTATTACCTGTTTGACCAGAGGCACATTCCTTAGAGTGTGTGTGACAGAGTTGGGTCCTGTGTAAGATGGGAACAAATACTAATTTAATGGGATGCTATGTCTTTAAACAAGTTAACACTTGCAAAGCATTAGAGTAATGCTTACCATATGGGGAGTGTTCAAAACTTTTAGTCCGTTTGGTTATCATCAGCTTCCATTTTTCCAGTTTTCATCCTTCATTGACACTACTGTGCATTTGGTCATCCCTGAAGACATAATTCATGCTCTCGCTTATGTAGAAATTAGCTGTCATGTGGTGTATACAACATACTATTTAGAACCTACATATAGTCTACCATTTGTTGACGTTTTTTCATTTGTCTGTTTTACCTGGCATAATATTATAAAATTCAGTAGTTTAGCTGATGGAAATTCCCTGATGGAAAAGTGTAACAAATCCATATTGCTCAAAATTATCTTTAATGTATTTATCTGATTATTTATTTCTGTCTAATTGACCCTTCTACCTCTTTCCTCCTCTCATTTTTGTGAAATAAGTACTCTTCTTATGGCCTCTTGGTGAAATGTGCTTTCATTTCAGGAACTGTTGACCTTCAGGGATGTGGCCATAGAATTCTCTCAGGAGGAGTGGGAGTGCCTGGA